TCGTTGAGAGTGCCCAACACACGACACGCAAGGATGGCACAATTACACAGAAGACGAACACTTTGAGCCTTGAAGATGATCTCAATAAAAGATCGAAACGTTGGCACGATAAAGAAAATGTTTTTCTGAAACCTACATCACACCCGACCGCATCTCACGATATCTGAATAACTATTTTTAATTTAAGAAAAAAAAGTAATTTCAAATTCAACATGAATTTTAAGTTTTTCTTCCTGGAATTGATAGCATTTTTTCCGTCTCATCATTATCTTAAAGCAATAAAAACTTGTCAAATATAAGCATGTAAAGTAAATTTCTTGTATACTGCTTTTTTCCGTAAAATCAACCCTTTTTAATCTTAAATTAACCCTTTCTTTAAAGCATTTTCAAAAACTTAGGAGATGGCATCAAATATAAGCATGTACAGAAAAGCTATTGTATATAGCTTTTCCCCTTCAAATTAACCCTTTTTAACTTGCAAATTAGTCCTTTTTTAATGTATAAAAATAATTAGGGTATGGCATAAAATATTAGCATGTAAAGTAAAATTTCTGTGTATAGCTTTTTTCTTGAAATTAACGCTTTTTAATTTTTAAATTAAACCTTTTTAGTTTCAAATTAGCCCTTTCCTAATGCATAAAAATAATTAGTATATAGCTTTTTTCCTTAAAATTAACCCTTTTCAACTTGCAAATTAGTCCTTTTTTAATGCATTAAAATAATTAGGATATGGTATAAAATATAAGTAGGTAAAGTAAAATTTGTGTGTATGGCTTTTTTCCTTCAAATTAACTCTGTTTAGCTTGCAAATTAGCCCGTTTTTAATTCATTATAATAATTAGGATATGGTATAAAAAAATAAGCATGTAAAGTAAAATTTCTGTGTATTGCTTTTTTCCTTGAAATTAATTCTGTTTAACTTGCAAATTAGCCCCTTTTTAATTCGTTATAATAATTAGGATATGGTATAAAAAAAATAAGCATGTAAACTAAAATTTCTGTGTATAGCTTTTTTTTCTTGAAATTAACGCTTTTTAATTTTAAAATTAACCCTTTTTAGTTTCAAATTAACCCTTTTTTAAGCATTCAAAAAAATTAGATAATGGTATCAAATATAAGCAATTAAAAGTTTTGTATGTAGCTTTTTTTCAATCAACGCTTTTAACTTGTGCAAATTAGAAAATTTTAATTTCCAACTAACCATTTTTGCTTTGTTAATTTCAAATTAACTTTTTACAATTTTTAACTTCAAATTAACCCTTTTTTTAAAACACTTAGTGAATGGTACCTATCAAATATCTATATGCGTGTGAAGTAAAATTTCTGTACATTTGGAATTTTTTAAATATAAAATAATTAGGTTCTTAGAACGCCAAATTCAATTAAAATTGAATAGAAAAAATGAATAAAATTAAATAGAAAAATAAAGAGTTTTTCTTTTACTTTGAGCTAAAGTGATTTAAAATTAAATATAAAAACAAATGATTATTTTATGAATTCGAGATTTTTTAAAATATAAATAATTAAGTAGTATGTATTTTTCCTTGTTTTTGGCGATAAATCCTTTGTTTTTGATTCTAGACATTCTGAACATAGTTGACAATATGAATTTTAAACTCCCTTCCTGGATTTTATTAGCTTTCAGTACTGCACTTTGAATGTTTTTTCCTTTTTGTACGATACTTATTTTGGCAAGGGTTGTGAGGTTGTTTCTATGCTGGGCACAGTTCCTTCTTAAAATTTAAGCGTTTCTTCCTGCGTCTTAGGTGCTGCGTTAAGAAAATGACTATTTTTTTACGTTATTATTTTGCTGATTAGGATGATATGCTTGTATCTAGAACTTCTGGACATAGTTGGCATTTGAATTTGAAGTTTATTAATTGTGAATGGTTGTATACCACTATAAATTGTACAATTTCCCTCTAGGAGTCAGAGTTGCTTCGGCTTCGGTTGGAAGTCGACCGGGTGTAAAAAAAAAGCCCGTTCAAACTTCGTCCAGTCGTGCTCGAAATGGTTTACTTCCTCCGCAGGGGCAGATGGTCCGTCGAGTTCCTCCTCCGCTCTTCGCCTAATTGCCGCCCGTTAAGGACGTGCCGTTGTACTCGCTTTCCGTCTCTCACTCCTCCCTTTTTTCCTCTCTCCCTCTCTTAAAACAACCAGTCCAGTGTCGTTTATAAAGGATGGGAGAAAAGGGACCAGATGAAAATAAAAAAATGCGGACTGACAATATTATTATTGTGGCTTGTGCAGACGCCGGGATGAAGCTTCACAATTTTTGAAACTTAGCCCTGCATGATACTGAACTTTAAAAAACTTCATAAAAAAGAGGAACTCTACTAACTAATCTTAACGGTTCTGCACACCTACTAGCTATTTATGTTGAACACCTTTATCGTCCTCATTCCTCAGGGTTTTCCGTAACAACATTGTAAAAACAAAGTCAGAAGTTTTCAAGTTACAAGTTTTTTTGTTTTTTTTCAAGTGCAGTCAATTTTTCATAAAAGAAATCCATAGATGACCTTTACAGTTTACCGTTGGCATTCAAAAAGCTTAACAGACACAAAAGCTGATAGATTGTCTTTCGCCTTTTTCTTTTTTTTTTACCCGGTGGACAAATTAGAAACCGTTTTTCACCCAGTGGTTCGTCTTTTTTTGTGACTTGGAAGTTTCACTTGGGTCAGCTGCAATCATTAGTCCTGGTCCCAAGATTGCCTTAAAATTACATCGTACAATGGAAAAACCGGCTATGGAAGAGGATCAGACGTAGAAAAATTTTTCAACTAGAAAATTAGCCTTTTTTAATGACGAATTAAAATTTTCTTTAAAATATTGAAAACTTAGGAGATGGTATCAATTATTTAAAGCATGTAAAGTAAAATTGCTGTACATAGCTTTTTTCCTTCAAATCAACCCTTTTTAACTTGCAAATTGGCTCTTTTTAATGCATTAAAATATTTAGGGTATGTATCAAACATAAGTGTGTAAAATAAAATTTCTGGGTAAAGCTTTTTTTCTTCAAATTAATCCTTTTTAACTTGCAAATTAGCTCTTTTTAATTTCAAATTAGTCCTTTTTAAGCATTAAAAAACGTGGTAAAAAATGGTATCAAATATAAGAATGTAAAATAAATTGAATTATAAGCAAGTAAATTAAAATTCATATATATATATATATATATATATATATATACACAAATTTAAGCACGTAAAGTAAAATGTACATAGCTTTTTTCCTAATTTCAAATTAGCCTTTGTTATGCATTAAAATAATTAGGATATGATATCAAATTTAAGCAAGTAAAGTAAAATTACTGCATATAGCTTTTTTCTTTCAAATTAACCCTTTTTAACTTGCAAATTAGCCCTTTTTAATTTCAAATTAGCCTTTTTTATGCATTAAAATCATTAGAACATGGTATTAAATATAAGTATCTAAAGTAAAATTACTGTGCATAAATTTTTCCTTCAAATTAACCCCTTTTAACTTGCAAATTAGCCCCTTTTTAAGCATTAAAAAACATAGATGGTATCAAATGTAAGCCTATATTTGATTGATTTATTCCTAAGTTTTCTTGCATATTTTAAAGAAAAGGTTAATTTGAAATTATTAAGAGTTAATTTTAAAATTAAAAAGTGTTAATTTGACGGAATAAAGCTGTATACAGGAATTTTACTTTTCATGGTATATTCGATACTATTTCTAAATTTTTAATATTTCAAAGAAAATAAAGCAATGTACTTTACATGTTATTTTTTATACCATACCCTAAATATTTGAATGCATTAAAAAAAGGCTAATATACAAGTTAAAAAGGGTTAATTTGAAGGAATAAAAGCTATGTACAGTAATTTGACTTTACATTCTCATATTTGATACCATCTCCTGTTTTTAATGCCTAAAAAAGGTTTAATTTGAAATTAAAAAGGGCTAATTTCCTAGTTTAAAAAGGTTAATTGGACGAAAAAAATTTACTTTACTTATTTATGCTTTAAACTAATATTTTACTGATTTCTCGAAAGGGTTAAAATGTATAATTAAAACAAGTCATATTCAAGAATTTAACTTTTAGTCGTTCGTTAGGTACACATCTGATCCATCTCCTATGATTTTTAATATATATAAAAAAGTTTAATTTGAAATTAAAAAGGGATAATTTCCAAGGGAAAAGTGTTAATTTCGACGAAAAAAATTTACTTTATATAATTATATATTATACCATCTAAGTTTTTTTACTAATTTACAAAAAGGGTTCAAATTAAAAATTAAAAAGGATTAATTTGTCGGAAACAAGCTATATGCAATAATTTAACTTTTCATTCTTATACATATTTGATACCATCTTCTAAGTTTTTTAAAAATGCTTTAAACAAAGATTTAATTTTAAATTAAAAATGGTCAATTTGACGAAAAAAGCTACCTTTGTAAATATTCTTCTATGTTTCTGCCAACCTTCCTAACTGGCGTATCCGGCAAAAACCGAAAAAGAACAACACAGCGAGTCAGGGCGGACCCGGCTCATCACCCGGCCGATCTCGAGAAGAAATATTACATATTCAACACGGAAAATATTACAATGGAAAGAGAACAATTAAGATTATAATGAATAACTTGTTACGATAATATCGATACGGCCCAATTTTGATTATTTTCCCATAAAACTGTAATGTTTACCTATTTCTCTGCCTTTCCCCTCTCCCTTCAGTTATGTAAAGGTGTAGCAATTGGTTATGTAAAAAATCGTGAAATAGAGTTGGTTTTATGTTAATTTTCGATCCCAGGAGCTTCTCTAATTTGTTTTTTAACAAAACTGCAGAAGTTTTTGGGTTTTTGTCTATTAAACCTAAGTTCATTAGTACGCTGATGTCGGCTTTACGGCGTCCATTTTCTCAAGTCGGAAATGTAATTTCTTATCTTGCCGGAACGGAAACTATCGCATTCTTCCTTCCTCCCATTGTTCCTCTGCTATTTTTTTTTGTATTAATATTTTTTATATTTTGTAGATGCTTGTTCGTCGAACGAGGCGGTACACCTCCAGCAGCGACTGAGAAGCCTGAGCTCCGAGCTGGTCACTCTGAGGAACCGGCTCGGCCAGCAGCCTCAACCGATCCCCCAAGCGCAGCAGCAGCCCCAGCAGCTCCAGCAGCAATATCAGCAGCATACAATCAACAACCGTGAGTAAACTCGAATCTCATGCCGAGACAATTCATTTTTTTCTTCGTTATTAAACGGATTCCTTTGTAATTACGCCTCACGCGATTATCAACCTTTGGACAAGTTGATGTATTTTTTTTTCGAAGAGAATCTAAAGTAAGGTGTTAATAAAAGAAAGCAGACCAATGTAACTTCTGAGAAAATGAAAGACCGGGTCTAATCTTTCGATCAAATCCAGTCAAATTAAATAATAAACTTTAAGTGATCTCGTGTGGAAAAAAGAGCGTGAAAGGAGACTTAGGAAAAAAAGGAACCCTTTAATTTTTACCTTTCTCTTTGCTTTGGATAGTCGACATAGACATAAGACATTATTGTACCGAGCTTTCACCACTGAGAATCATTTTTTGGTGAGTTGAAAAAATGAGAAAGTTCTTTCTTTAAAACACAGAACTCGAAAATTCCTTTTTTCTTCCGGGGACAGAAGGTCTTTTCCGACCTTTGCCTATGGAAAGATCATCACAGTCCCGGAATTGTGATCGGCCCCCTTTTTTCCAATTAAATATAAAACGTGTTTTAGACATAATTTTATATTAACAGTACCGGTTCTGCCCCGGGCGGAATAGTAGGCAGGAATTCAGAATCGAGAATAATAATCAGCCCCCTCCCCCCCGAATGGGGACAGTGCATTGGCCATCCAGCTGAACAAAGTGCGGTGACTTCACTTTTATAAATAAGCACCCCATTTGGAAAAATGATTCAGCCCGAGAAAAAATATCGAGCATCGTGTTAAAATCACTGTTTACACTTTTCTCTATTTTCTTTCAATCATTTTGCTATATGCATCGCTACTTGGTATCAGTAATGGTCCGCCGGCAGTGATGATCGTTCTGATGATAGGAATCCGCATTGTGGAAGAGAGGGGACGATCATCGCAAACCCAATCCTGAAAAGAGTGCACTGGCAGAAAGATATATTAAATTTTAATATTTGTGCCATGGTGAGAAATTTAATGTATATTTTTGTTTGTACGGGGGCATCGGACAGCTTGGTGCTTTCAGCCCCGAGCGCATGCCAAATATTACAACACACATTCAATACGCATTCACACAAATAAATACATTCACACCTATATACATTGCATTAATTATATTTGGTAAATGGGGTACTCAACATTCTTCCATCGACCTGCATGCAATAACAAACTAATCTAATTGGGGTCGATGGGGTACTTTTATAAATATTCCGCCGTCGTCCCAAGTCACGCCCCACTCACAGCTCGAGCGTCGATGGGGATTCGACCAGCAGCCCCTCCCCTTTCACTCTAATAAATACACTTAGTCATACAAAACACATATTGTGACGGCTATATACAATTTTAAAAAATCCCCAATTCCCCTAAAAAGCGGAACAGGGGACCCTGAAACTTGCTACCCTGTCCGAGAACCATTGTTAAATCCGGCGGCATTCCTACAGACATGACATGCCTCGTTATATTGTATTATTCATATTATATTATATTGTATCGTATCGTATCGTACCTATCTTATCGTATCGTACCATATCTTATCATATCGTATCTTATCGTATCGTACCTATCGTGTCATATCTTATCGTATCATATCATATATTATATTACATTATTATTTATTTATTACATTGAAATTATATATATATTATACAAGAAAAAGAAACTTCTCGTACGATACGATATTCAGTTGTTTTTTTTCATGTCTTCTATGGATCAATTTTTATTTAGGATAATTTTTTCTGGAATCTCCCTCCCTCCATTTTTGCTCTAGTTTTTATTCTTCTTTTCTACTAATCTTATATATTTTTATGCCGGTCATTTTATGTCAATTTATTTCTTCCTTTTTCACTTTGTATTTTATTCAACAGTTTTGTTTATTTTTTAAAATAACTTAGCGTTGTTTCTTGATCCGCCGAGCTTCTCCATTTTTATAACTCGGATCGTTAGACGTTAAACTGTCTCCTTCTAGAATTTTTTCTTAATTTTTGCTCTAGTTTTTCAGTTTTTCTTTTGCGGATTGCATTTAAGCATTTCTGTGACCTGAACGTTGTCACCAGTTTTCCTATTTTCAGACTTTGTCCTATTCATTCCTTTTGTAAAAGGAGTTGACTATTTAAATTACGTTCAGCCATTTCCGGATCTGAGAAATTTTGCATTTATGTTTCTACACGTACCATTTCGCTAGGTTTTTCTTCTGTAAGAGGCTACAGTAAATAAATTCTTTTATTTAACCTGCTATCATTAAGTGACTTGTGCTTGACAGCAGTTCAGAGTTAATTTGGTTTTCCAGTTCAGCACCATCTTTGAACTAATGATATTTGAACTTAGTGCTTTAAGGCTATCTGACATGATAGCTTTGTTCTTGTTTATATACTCTTTAGTCAATTTGAATTTAATACATCTCTCGATTGCGTGAACCTCACCTTAGTAGATACTGGTGTATTTTCCCATGAGTTCCGAGTATTTGGTTGCAGGACCAAACACTCCTACTGACCTTACCGTACTAGATCCATCTGTACCAAAAGATGGTGCCGTTCTTAAAGGAGGTGTTTCCCTCTCGTCCCCATTCTTTTTTGGTACCTAGGTTTATTTGAAAGTTTTGATTGAATTCAAACATCCTGTTCATTTCGTCCCTTGGAGCCATGAGTATCGGACGGTCTTTCATTATTTTGTTACTATCTTCCATTTTAGTCTTATTGCAGTTGAAGGCTTCCCTTTAATAATACTAATAATAGTTTTCTATGCTGTCCTTAGTATCATGAGGGGTAGGACATCCCAATATCTTTTCCATACCAACTGTGGGACATGTTCTCATTGCTCCCGTTGTACAGATGCACGCAAGTCTGTATTTTTGTGATTTTTTTTTCTTGTTATTTGTTCTACTTTATCGGCCCAAGCTAAGGCTCTGTATATAAGAATAGGTCTTACCATCACGGTGTAAAGTATTACAAAATATTTTCACATAATATTTTTTCAAAACTATTTATAAACTAACAAATCTACATGTAATTCACTTTTTATAGAACAAGATAAATATTAAAAAAATCTAATAAATGTAATCCTATGTTACATGAGTTAAGTAAGTAATATTCATTCATTTTATGCTACTCAAGTTACAAACTTAAGTATTTCGCTACGAATGAACGCTGTGAAAATTTCTGGGGGGGGGGGGATCACCAATCTTATACACTAGTGAATGTTTATTTTTTATACAGTTGTATTTTGGCAAAATTTGTCTATAAAGTTTTTGAGAGTTTCTATGTCTGCTTTTTGATGTAGGAGTTTTATATTGGTTGGCGTAGGTGAAACGGTGCTTAGTCTGTTCTCTCTGAGGAAGAAAGTTCTTCACAACAGTGAAAAAAGAATTTTTACTCTTTTTTCCTTTGTTTACAATTTATATGAGTAGTAAAGTTTAGCTTATTATTCAACTATATATCAAGATACACCACTGGCGACCAGGGTACCACATCCCTTCTGAAATTTATGTCCATATTTATGCCTTCGTTTTGTGAATAAAATAGCCCCCGTCTTGGCAGGGTTGATCTTCCACTTGCAAAAAAAAAATTTTTTCCCTGAATAAGGAAGTCATTTAAATACATACATCAAGAGTAGTGTGGGGCTTAGTACAGATCCCTGAGGTACCACTGAGAATGAGCGGTAAATTGACGAGTTTCCGTTTCCAAGGTAGATGACAAATTTCTTATTTTTTAAATAGGATATCATCATTTCAGTTAGATAATTTCGGAAATTGCAGTCAATCATATTATTCCGTTATCACATAAGTATCAAAAGCTTTAATGATGTCCAGTAATAATTACCCCAGTGTGCTTTTTTTTATTGAAATCGCAAGTTAAATAATCCAACAATCTGCAAAGTTCGAGCTTGTTAAATTTTTAATGCCTTGGACATACTGCTACTAAACAATTCATTGTTTATTCTTATGTTTAGACTTTTCTGGGGTCCACCTGTCTCGCCGGTTTTCCATTTTTTTTTAAAGATAATTTAGGTTCAATTTATTTATGTTCAACTTTTGCCCTATCAGTTTTTTTTATATGTAAAGCAGTTAACTTTTTAATATTGTGTTTAGCCATTTATGGATCCGCCTAGTTTCGCTGATATCGGAATGTCTCAATTATTGATATCAATCTGACACTCTAATTTTGTGAATTTCTTTATTTTACCGTTTTGTTTGATTACGTCTTCATGTTTAGCCTATTTCCGGGTGTGAATAATTTTCATTCAGCCCAACTGGCTATAAATTCAAGACATAATAATTACATATAAAGTCTATCAGACTTTGACCTAGGCTAACATATTTTTAACAGCGATGCAAATTAGAGGAGAACGAGACGTCGGGCACCTCAACCGCGTTCCATTGCGCCCAGCAAATCGTAAAATGTGGAGAGATTGCATCTACGGTCTTCCCCTTTAACTTTACCGTCTTTTTTTTTGTAATTTAAATTCAAACATTGAAACTTTAAGCGTCAGGAAAGATGCAACAACCAGATAGAGTTGACATTTGAGGAATGAACGTGGAAACCTATTTTATTTTTTTTTGGCATAATTTCCTATTAAAATTAATAAAAACTGTCAAAATCATTGGTTTTAAGCAGCAATAGGCTTTTCTTTTTCCAATCATCATCCAAGGAACAAAAACTCGTACCTGATACAAAACTTTGTGACATTTACAAATCTGATATCTCAACAGTGCACTTTTTTTCTGTTTGCAGTTGTATTTCTCAACATAAAAATAATGTTACCTACTTTAGAATAGTTTACGTGGCAAAATTACACAGACCCGAAAGTTATTTTCTCACTACAACCCAAGCAGTTCGTGTAACTCTTCACCAAACCTTATAACTTGAAAACTAAAAAACTGAAAATAAATGTCACGTACTATAGATCATTTTGGTTGTCGATTTATAAAAACATTGTTCTGCTAATTACATTCCTGGAACAGGAAAATGATGAAACTCTCAAGACCACGCTTTT